ACGAAGTGCAACAAATAAGTTACCATATAGTTGCATTCAAACTTCAAAAGCATAGTTTTGTTTAGGTTCTTCAAATGTTTATTGGCTACATAGCAGAATTCACCTCTTATGTGATTAATTAGGCTAAGCTGCAATGTGTGAACTCAGTTATTATGTACTTAAACATATTTGCAAAGGAAAATTAAGAACCAAGAATCCGCATATACACAAGTTGAATTTGTTAGCAGTTTCAATGAATGTTAAACACACTTTTTGTATCATATGAGTGAAGCTGAAATGTGAAATCTGTCAGACATTTTGTCTTGGGCATTATGTATTGTACAGACTTTAATTGATTTAATAGCAACAGAAACAAAAAGCAATAAAGGATTAAAAATGTTTTAAGAGATGATTGTGGTGTAATTTTTCCATTTTTTCCATTAGAACTAGATGGAATCACAAAATGTTTGCAGCACAATAAATATATTAGATTTAAGATGCCCCATATTTGTTCCACAAAAGATTGATGAGACAGCCACTTGACTTAAATCTCCCGTTTCATTCAACCTGCAGCACATTTGTTCTATGTTCTTAAATCAAGCATGTTTAGAAATTGTTTTGGTTCATTCTTGGAGCTTTCAAATAGAGAGTATCAGAGAATTCAGTTCTGGCACAATGCTGATGCTAGAGAAATTCCTTTACTGAATGAGTTCTTTAGAAACAACAGCAAAATACATTTGAAAACTGATTTAAATTTTTCAACAAGAGAAGCTTTAAACTGGTTTTTCATCACCCTACCCTTTAGGGTAGGAATCGTAGGAGCTGAAATCCAAGACATCTGGAGGAGATTAGATCAGGGTAAATAGTTCTAAACCATTGTTTCTCAACCTTGACAATTTTAAGGCATGTGGACTCCCAGAATTCTGGGAGTTGAAGTCCACATGCCTTAAAATTGTCAAGGTTGAGAAACACTTTTTTTTTTCTTTACAAATCACTTTACTCTGCTTTTCAACCCACAATCTTTCTTAACATTTCCCTGATTCATAAACAATAGAATTGGAAGAGACCTACTGAAGTGATGAGACCCAGATCACAGCATCCTTAACAGCTGGGTGTCTAGCCTGTGCTCAGATAGATCCAGCTAAAAACTCTGATTGAGACATGTCAAACACACGGCCCGGGGGCCGGGTGCGGCCCGCGAAGTGGTTTCATGTGGCCTACGAAGCCATCCTGGAAACAGTCAGGGAACGGCCCCCGCTGCCTTGGCCTTGGCCCAGGCTGGCTGGGAGCCAATGTACAATTTTGTGGTGGCCATCTAGGCTGAAATGCATTCAGTCTTAGCTCCACAAGGCCGTCTGGAAACTGTGAGGAACCAGTCTCTGCCATGTTGGCCCAGCTCCCTGGGTGCATGGCGGGGAGGTGTCACTCTTTGTGAGGAATGAAGAAATGCACCATCGCCTGGAAGTGGCCAGCAAATGGCCCTCGTCTACTTCACATATCCGGCTTGATGGGCTCTGCCCTGGTCCCACCACTTTCTGCCAGAGACCCTCAGATCTGTCCCACTCCTGCCCAGGCCCCCACAGGCATCCTTGACGCGAATGATGTAGAGCTGGCCACGTCCACCCAGTAGGCCACCCCCATTCCATCCACGCCCACTCAGTAGGCTACATCCACCCTGGCCACACACACACCCCCGAGGGCAACTGCAATGCTGATGCGGCCCTCAATGAAATTGAGTTTGACACTCCTGCTCTAACTGATCCCATTCAAAACTGCTCTTATTTTTACACTTTTCCTAATCTTCAACTGAAATTTTCTTTCCTATAATTCGCATGGGAGTAAGATTACTTGGGGGAAAAATTACTGTGATTTTTGCACAATAGCTTAATGAAGATCTGAAAACCCTGACCTTCGACATTTTTAGTAGCAACAGTGAAGAAGGAATCTGAAAATAACACAAATTTGGGTGAAAAATGAAAACGTTCGGTTTTCCCTTGTGTTACTTATGTGTATGTTTAAATGTGCTTCTCTCCAGGGAAGGCTTTTGCCTTGTTGCTTTTCAACAGGTGCTGACAGAATATTTGTGGATTTGAAATATAGGAAGTCATACCTGGAGGTACTCTGCAACTTGGCATCAAGCCCTTCCATGTGTTCTGATTGAAATTCATAAATTGCAGCTAATTGACAGGAAAGTTGTTAGGCTTCATATTTTAACATTTATCAAAATATCGCCATGAGCTTCCAGGAGAAATTGCTTTTAAAAAGATCCATCTTGGATGGAAAGGTCGTGACAATTGTCAGCATAAATTGTTCACTGCAAATATAAAGAGAATAAAGTACACATGTCAGGCTTCAGAGGGCAAATCATACTGGCTGCCACTACAAAAAGTACAGTTTCAACTCTATTGTGGCACATCCATTAACTATTTTTTTGAAGTTTTTCTTTTTTCAGCACTCTTACACGAAAGATTTAGGCTGAGAATTAGTCCTGATTATTTCATGCATGTTATTTTAGAATTAAGAGTCTGACTGAATTCATTCCTACAAAAATCGGTATTGGATACCACTTAAACATGTGTTTAAGCAATTCCATGCACGAAGCTCACTTAGGTCCCATTAAACTCATTGGTTGTTAAGATCAGTTGCATCAGTCTTTCCTTAAAACTTATCCAATCATATGTGAACATTCAAAAGATTCTAACATTGATAATGTATGAAAGTCAATAAATAGATTACTAATTTTCTTCCAGTACTGAACAGATTTATTAGAAATGTATTAGAAAAAATAGAAATGTATTAAAATTTATTACTAAAATTAGAAATTCATTAGAACAAAATATTTAGTTTTCTAAATATGTATATTTATATATTTTTTTCCCAAAGTTAATTACAATAATCTTAAAACAGTCCCAAAGCAATCCATTATTAGGAAAAAAAACATATTTGGAGGGAGTTAATAGTTAGGACAGGCCATTATAACAGAGGTAGCTATTGACAGTTTGGACCAGAATTTCTGTTGCTAAGCAAGCTGGTTATTAAATAAGTCATGCCCAATTTTACAACCTTTTTTTGCCATGGTTGTTAAGTGAATTGCTGCAATTGTTATGTGAATCACATGGTCATTAAATGAACCTGGATCCCCACTGACTTTGCTTGTCAGAAGCCAGTTGGGAAGGTCACAAATGGTGATCAGGTGCCAACCTCTCCCCCCCACTCCAGAACAATGTTATAAATATATGCTGGTTGCCAAGTGTCCAAATTTTGATCATGTGACCATAGGGATGCGGCAGTGGTTGTAAGTGGGGAAACCACTGTTTTTTCAGGGCCGTTATAATTTCGAATGGTTGCTAAATTTCCATCCTTCCGAGGTCGGTAAAATGAGGACCCAGATTGTTGGGGGCAATATGTTGACTCTGTAAACCGCTCAGACAGGGCTTTAGAGCAGGGCTTTTCAACCAGTGGTACGGGTACCACCTGTGGTACATTGGCACCTGGCAGGTGGTACGCGACCATCCTAGAAAAGTGGTAGGGGGGAGGGGAATGAGCTGAACTGGTGGCAGCACCACACAAGCCTGAGTGACTGGAGCTGCAGGGCTGTCAGGGCTCAGCGGAAGCGCCAGGATTAGCGCCAGGCTCCAGTTGTAGCTCGGCACTGATCTCGGTACTTCTGCTGAGCCCAGAAGAAGCGCCGATCAGCTGGAATGTTGCAACATCTTCAGGGTCTTGTGATTTACATTCAGATGCTTGCCAAGTGATTCATATTTATGACGGTCACAGTGTCCCAGGGTCACGTGAAGTGACCAAAACCTGCTGCAACCACCCAGCAAATGGGGGGAATAAAAACCAAACATCCCCCACCCCACCCCACCCTCACTGCCAATCCTCAACAGAAATGCTCACAACAATGAAAACCTTGGACAGGAGGAAGAGTGCCGCCAGGCAGGCAGGCAGGTGTCTGGCTCGGCTGTGGCTTGGGGGGCACTTTTTTCAGTGCCATTGTAACTTCAAACAGTCACTAAGCGAACTGTTGTAAGTCAAGGACTACCTGTACTTTATCACTTTTTTCCTTTTTGGGGGGGGGTCATCAAGTTTTGGGCACCTTGCTAGGCGACTGGTGATACTCGGATATTGCCATATCCTAAAAGTGGTACAATGGGTGAAAAGGTTGAAAAGCCCTGCTTTAGAGCACTGTGAAGCAGTGTATAAATACTATTGCTATTATAATTCGAGGACTACCTGCAAATGGCACGGCATCATTAGAGCTAATATCTTATGCTTCTATTGTGTGAACTAGACTGAATCCACAACTCATGTATTCCAAGTGTTTGGACGGAAGCAAGTTAATTTTGCCAAGCCTATGGCATTTTAAGACGGCTGTAAATAATCTGTAAATTGTTGGCTCTTAAACTTATGTTGCATTGAATGAAACTGACATTACTTCCTTCCATGTGTCTCTGATAACGGGTTATTTATTTTTATCCTATATAAAATTCAGCAAAAATCTGGATTTCTCCTGAACAAATGACCGCCAAAGAAAAAAGCACCACTGACCCATTATATAAGATAATTTTTAAAAAGATTTTCTTTTCTACCTCATCCATTGAGCTTTATCAAGATGATTTTTATCTATAACAAAAAACCCACGCTAAATATTTTCAACAAACCCATTCTTTTATTAGGGGAAGTTAATATTGTGACAAACCAGGATAAAGCATTCAAAATACGTATTACTTTAAAACCGGGGAATTTTTCTTTCTCTTCCCCATTGGATGTCTGTTTCCATGGAAACAGCACCCGGCAACCAAACATTTTTTTTTTCAGATGAATACGCTGAAATAGATATTTTTCACAAGCAGCTATTTACAGCCAAACTACATAGTATTTCTGATATGGTTCAGCTGTTTCACTGTCAATATGACTTCCTATGGCAGAATTCATCCTTTTTACTTCTCTGTTAGATTTATATTCTGCCTTTCCTCAAGGAGGTCAAAGAAGCTACTATGGACCCCAAAACAACAGTCTTTTTTTAAATAAATATTTTATTAATTTTCTAGTTTTGCAATCATAAGTATTTAACAAACAACAGCCGAGAGAAGAAGATGCCATCTTGAATGAAATCTCTGCGATCACTGCCACAGAGGCCAAACCTGTAGAGTTTCGGGGAGGATTTGATCCTCCGTTCTACCAATCCAGCGAGAATCTCTCCGGCTCTCGGAAGTCTCAGTCGGTTGCTTCAAACATCGCAGGGCAGCTTTCGACCACGGAGGCCTTGACGTCTTTTCTGGACCAATACGCGCTCAAAGGCTCGTGGGATACTCCGAAGCAAGCCTTTCACAACCATTGACTGGTCCTGTCGTGATGCCGAGGAGATTCCTGTAGGACTCCAAGAAATGTGGACCTCATCGGATCCGGGCATTTTGACCCCCAGCCCTTGCAAAATTCCTGCACACCACCTGTCTGAGATGGTATTACCTAAGACTGCCTACCTGTTTGTCAGCCGGAAGACTGAAGAGCTGTTGAAAAAAAGCAAGGGAGGACTGGAGGACAATGGCTTTCTTTCTGCTTCCCCTTTGGATGTCTTAGACAGGCTTCTTCAACATGGGGCTGATGTTCATAGCAAAGAACTGAACACGTTATCGTTGCCAAGTAGATCCGCCGATTGGACTCATTTTGGTGGTTTTCCTCCTTCTGACGAGATTCACTTCCTCCAGAATCATCTGCACCTGCTGCATAACCAGCTGTTGTTACGAGCCCTTCAAAAGGCAGCAACACGCTCTCCGAAACGGGCATTTCCTGCGGAAAGTGATCAAAGCTGCCGCCCTGGTGGAACACAACGCAGCCATGAATGACCAGCTGCGGCTCCAGACCTTGAAGCTCAGCCTTCAGGAGGAGCAGGCCAAACATTGCCTGTTCCAGGAAGAATATGATGGCATGGTGGCTCAGCTCCATAGCCAGAACTGCCAGTTGCAGCACGAATGGGAGGAGTACTACAACCAGAGTCAGGAGCTGAAGACCAAACTGGAAGACTGTTGCGATGTAATCCGAGACTTGCGGTCCAAGCTGAAAAAAATCCAACAAATGTGCCACACAGAATTGCTGCTGAGCCAAGTTTCACAAAAGTTTTCTAACAACAGATGGACTTCTTGAATAGGCAGCTGCTGGTGCTCGGGGAGATGAATGAGCTCTTTACATCAGATCACATTTCCTTTAACGTTGTACTACTTTAAATCCAGCCACCCTGTTAACAACAGAGTAATCTGGGGACAACATACATGATTGCCTACACCTTATCCAGGATACAGAACTACCCCGACCCGACTTAACCGACCCTTTGCAGAACCCCAACCTCAAGCTCTTCACAGATGGGTCCTCATATGTACATGAGGGAATCAGGGTATCCGGGGCAGCAGTTGTCTCTCTTTACGAGATCATATGGGCTACACCGCTTCCCTCTTCCGATAGCGCTCAGGTGGCTGAACCCGCGACTTTAATCCAAGCATGCGAAGGCGCGAAGGGCAGGTCTACCAATGTTTACACAGACTCTAGGTACACATTTGGAGCATGCCATGCTATTGGAGCCCTGTGGAAGCAAAGGGGCTTTTTGATCTCAGCTGGGCAGCCCATCTCTGACTCAACACTAATTTCTAAATTGCTATCAGCTATTCAATTACCCTCAACCATAGCCATTGTCCACTATAGGGCACACCAGAAAGACCACTCAGAAATCACAAAAGGCCACCAATATGCCTATCAAACTTCAACCCAACCCCTTCCCATAAACACAATGGCACCAGCTATAAGAATTGACACAGAAGTCCCCTACAAAGACTTCCTAGAGAAAGGGGAGGAAGAACAGTGGGAGAAGACAATTTGAGGCAGTGTATACAGCAGGGGTTCTCAACCTTGGCAACGTTAAGACTTGTGGACTTCAACTCCCAGAATTCTGGGAGTTGAAGTCCACAAGTCTTAAAGTTGCCAAGGTTGAGAACCCCTGATATACAGGATTCTGGCATGTTCCAGACAGGAGGCACACGGTCTCCCGTTGTCTCCTGCAATTTATATGCCAAAGGCTGTATTCAAAAGGCCACTGTGGAAGCCAGGCAATAGTAGACGCTATAAGGGGGGTCTGGTATGCACCAGGGGCTTACAGTGAAGCCACACATATAGCAGGAACCTGTCAAAACCTGTCAGGCCAGCAATGCCACCTCAAAGAAAGCCATTCATATAGGGGGAAGACCATGGGCACAACGGCCCTTCGAAAACCTACAAATGGATTACAAATGAATACCAGTATGCCCTAGTATGCAGAGACAAGCTAACATACTGGGTGGAAGCCTTCCTCTGCCACAGCACTAGAGACAGCTAGACGACATCTTAAGGATATTGCACCAAGGTTTGGAGTGCCTAGCATTCCAGATATGGACTGAGGAAGACACTTTGTGTCCCAGGTCCTTACCCATGTGTTCCAGGCCCTTGGCATCACCCAGAATCTTCACGTACCCTATTCTCCAAGCTCCTCTGCGGGTACCGAAAGGATTAACAGGAAGGTCAAGACTCTTCTGGGTAAGCTCTGCCAGGAAACATACCTAATGTGGCCCCATGTCCTACCCATCAACTTGTTCTATCTCAGAACTAGGCCCCAATGGGACATGGGCATTTCCCCATTTGAATTGCTTTTTGGTTGCCCACCAGACACCCTGAAAGATCTAGACCCACACTCCCTAAGCCTAGAAAAGGGGGATGTGGTTCTTTCTGCTTACCTCGCAGCCCTGCACCAAAGACTCCGCGCCCTTTGGAGACAGAGTGCCCTAACTCAAATATTGCCATTGGAAGAAGCCCTTCATCCATTTGAACCAGGAGATTGGGTGTGGATAAAGTCATTTACCAGAACCTCACCATTACAACCTAGGTGGAAGGAGCCTTTCCAGATCCTGTTGACTGCATAGACAGCCATCAAAGTTGCAGAGAAGAAGTCCTGGATTCACTGGACTCACATAAAACCAGCAGTTCTGGACCACAGCACGAACCCTGCAACAACACCCAAAGTACCACCAGTACAACTCCAAAGGGACCCTGAGACCAAGGAGTGGACACTAAAGACTCTTTTTGAAACTAAGGAAAATAGAGGGAGGAACTGTGAAGAAATAGCAGAGAAATATTGTTAAAATTTATTGTATTATTGTATGCACGATCGGTGTATCAGGACTTTTAGAACCTAACCTGCTACTAGAAAAGGGGAAGATATGGGAATATTTAGCGCGGGAAGTACTAAATACGATTAACTTCTGCCTGGCAGGGGGAAGGTCAAGGAACGACATTCTCACAACATGCCTATTAGACGTGGCATCAAGGCCACAAGTCATAATCAATAACACTAACCTGAATAATTTCTCTATTGAGACTACCTTCTCCACTATTTTTTGACTGGGGTGCTAATTCAGATTACAAGGACCAGAGCACGTACACCTTGCAAATAGCTACAGTCACCAGATCAGCCGCATGCTTCCAATTAGCCAGACCCAGGGTTCCTAATTTTCAGGATCTCAGTAATAAGAAACTGATCTTAACCATACTGAGATCATCCCCTTCTCCTTTAGCCACGTAAAACTCCCCCAGGACTGGTGGTTCTTATGTGGGTTAAAGCAGCGGTTCTCAACCTGTGGGTCGGGACCCCATTTGGGGTCGAACAACCATTTCACGGGGGTCGCCAAACAACGCAGTTCGCCATTTTTCCCCCCTTTTCCTTAGCTGTGCTACTCACTTTTATTCTATTGGCTTTTGAAAGCCAATAGAATAGACTCTCTTGAATAGAGTCTAATTCTATTGGCTTTCAAAAGCTAATAGGAATTGTCCAGGCTGTCTCTGCCCTTCTGAGCCCGCCAAAAGTCCCATTCTGCAAATGGTGCTGTAAGTTGTCTGCAGCGAAGGCGAGCTGTCTGGAAGTTTCCACCCCTCCCTGCTGAGCAACTACTAAAAATGTAAGTAAAATAGGGCCAGGGGTGGGAGGTGGGAGGCCGGCGGGCGCAGGGAGGGTTGCTGGCGCACGTGGGGCCCGGCGGGTGCCTCACCTCCCTTAGGCTGGGCCAGCTGGTGGCCCAGCTGGTGGTCAGCCTGCGCCATCTCTGCCGCTTGCCAGCTACGCTTCGGCCGGCGCAAGGGGCGGCACCACGCATGCGCGGCGCTCCCGGGCAAGGAAAGTCCTCGACTTACGACCAGTTGGGTAGTCCTCGACTTACAACCGGTTGGGTAGTCCTGAACGTACAACTGGTTGGGGGTCGTGGCATTAAAAAGGTTGAGAACCACTGGGTTAAAGGCTTATTCTTATTTCCTAGCAAATTCAACAGGAGGGCCATGTACCCTAGGATGGCTGACTATGGTAATGCCTTCACTGCAGAGGCGACAAAGGAGAGCCCTCCAAATGTTAACCCCAGATTGTGACTCAAAGACTCTACTGTTAACACAGGCAGAATATGCAGCATTAGCGGTCTCCCTAGTAGGGGTTCCAGCCCTTGTGGTACATAATTCCAGAAGCCTGAGCAGCCTGGCTTGTTTATTGGCAAAAAGCTTAAATTTGACCTCCCAGGCACTGGATGCCTTATATCAAGAGCTGAAGCAGGTTAGGGAAGCAACACTAGAAAACCGAGCAGCCATTGATTATCTGCTGTTAAGGCATAATCATGGATGTGAAGAATTCAAAGTCCTCTGTTGCTTCAATTGGACTGAAAGCTCTCAGCTCATAGAGAGCAACATCCAGCAGTGCCTGAGGCAGTGGTTTTCAACCTTTTTAACGCCGCGACCCCCAACCGGTTGTAAGTCGAGGACTACTCAACCGGTCGTAAGTCGAGGACTACTCAACTGGTGCAGTACCGTTTGCAGAAGGGGACTTTTGGCGGGCTCAGCAGGGCAGAGACAGCCTGGAGCATTCCTATTGGCTTTTGAAAGCCAATAGAATTCAAGAGAGTCTATTCTATTGGCTTTCAAAAGCCAATAGAATAAAAGGGAGTAGCACAGCTAAGGAAAAGGGGGGGAAAATGGCGGACAGCCTTGTTTGGCGACCCCCGTGAAATGGCCGTTCGACCCCAAATGGGGTCCCAACCCACAGGTTGAGAACCACTGGCCTGAGGGAACTTGCACAAAACATTGGATACGAAAAAACACCTTTTGACTTCTTATTCACACTTTTTTCATAGTTACCAAACCTGCATTGGCTAAAAATGCTCATTCTAAGAGCAATCACAGCAGCTGTGGGTGCGGTTCCTCCTCTGTTGCCTTTGCCAATGTATACCACCCTGTCTTAGTTGTCAAAAGGCTTGTCTTTCAACCGTCCCAAAGCACAACAGAAAGGGAAAAGGAGACTTTTTAAAAAAAAACTCTCAGTGAGTTAAAAAGTTTCAATAACCCAAAAGGTATAAAACTCATTGTACTCACCCTTCTGATCAGCTAGCTAGCCCCAAACCCTAACGCTGTGTCACTATGGTTTTTGGCTTCTGAAATAAAGGTTCTATTTTCTGGCAGCTCACTTCTGCATCCATTTTTTTCCCTCAGCGATGACAATTTTGTCCCAACTGGAATATGAACTGGAGAACTTTCTTTCCACAGTCCCTAATTAGACTGCAAGGCACAAAATGTAAGCTCAAGCTAACAAGCTCAGAAAGTCCTTTGTATTATTAATGACTCCTTCTGATGAGATGGTTAAATGTTTATTTCTGGACCCTCGTCTCAAAGGGATGAATTCTCTTCACAAAGACTCCCTCATAGATAACATGCCTCGTAAGGAAGATCATTTGCAATATTGATCTGTGGTTGTAGGAATTAAGGGTCAATCCTGCTGCTTTAGTTACATGAAAGCTTAGACATTCATTAGCTTCTGAATAACAATGCTTTTGAGGGGTCAATCCTACACTTTGTGTGATGCTTTCTATGATATTGGTAGGGGAGGACTATCAACATCATAGAAAGCCAACAAGGGAGGATTCAATCTTGGCAATTTCATAACAGGTGGATTTCAACTCCCAGAATTCCCCATCCAGATATGCTGGCTGGGAAATTCTGGAAGTTGA